CGTGATCAAGATGTACAGTAGACATAGAAAATTTGGAGGTACGTGTTTCTACCTTTCAAATGAGTCACTGATTGAGGAATATACTACTAATTAATAATTCTACGTGACTGATGAACCTCTTCTGCGATACAATTACAATGTTTTTCAAATGAGCATCTCCTATGTCTCTGCTGTCTTATTACCTCAATGTACAAATGTATATTGCCATAGTTGTTGTACAATTTCTGCACATCATGCAACAAGTATATCTTTCGTTCTCTCCATTTTATACACTGTACGACCCTTCTGTGAAGTAAAGGGACAAGTCATTTTACGTTGAACTGGAGATTCAGCATCGTATGGTGGCGTTTCTTCGCTAAAACTAGTGAGGAAAGCAATGCGTTTATAATTAATAACCAATGCATTATTTTCATTAGACGATCTCGTGAATTAAATGAAACTAGAAAGGTAACATTTGCAAAGCAAATGCATAATGTTTACCTTCGCATATGGTCTGCTCTGTTGATTCTTACTCCAATACATCCATATATATGGTCAGACAGGAGTATAAATCCCTCCTACTATAAAATTGCAACAATGTACCCAACAATGTAACCCAACACCAGTTACCATGGTGAGAGATGTCAACAAATGAGATCATTGACCAGGTCAAAGGTCAATGTTTGGAGAAGAAGAAGAAGAGGAGAAAAACGTAGCAAAAACAATATGTTTTCTTTCGGTAAACATAATGATTAGCCCTGTCGTCCGAAAAAATCTGCTATTATATAATAATAGTGCCTATTTGTTAGAAATTCCACTTGGGTATTTTCTCTGGAGATATACGAGGGACTGTACGATATTTCATCGGAGACCGTTGGCGTATGGGAGGGAAGGATTTTTAGGTTTTGCCTGAGGCAGGATAACACGTCGGCAGAACTTACTGCGCCTGCACAAAACTCTGATTTTTCACGGCTTTCGTTGGTTTGGTCAACGTTGCATCAGAATTTTGCCTGTTGTAGACGACATCTTTTCCGACATAACATTTGGAAACTACAGACGTTAAGCCGAAGTGCTAAGCACAACACTTCACGCGCAGGTGCAGTACGTTCTGCCGATGTGCTAGGCAGGGTCAGGTAAAATGTCACGTGACTATGACGTAATTTAGCGCCGGCCATATTGGTGTGTTAAAGTTTAAAATCGCCTTGTGAGTTTAAGAGGTTGATAGCGTATTCAGTACCTCCCCTGATGTATGCTATTTCTGATTCAAATCGCCTGAACGACCCTCCATTGTTTAGTTCCCAATCAAGAACGTACTAGAAAGATACTCACAAGGACATACGATTTGATCAGACATCCTTGCCGGAAGAATGAATTAGACAAACGCAGTATTTACACTTTAACCAATCGATTTACAACTCATTTGCATGACGTTCGATGGGATATGACCTTGGTGCTCTAGGTTGAGGTCAGTGATAGCGGAAAGAAAACAGTAATGTCAATTCGAACAACGAAATCAAATGGGTACATCGTTCGTCATTAAATAATGGTACAACCAGTATACCCAATGGACAACTATTCCCGCTTGCAAGTGACAATGTGCAGACTGAATTCGAACCTAAGATTATTTCGTCGATAAAATTATAAGCCGGCACGGAGAACTTTCGCCACCGCACGATGTTTTAGTTTTATGATACATGTTTAGAATATCAAAGCTCTTTGCTGAGAGATTTTCTACACCTCTATTCACAAATCTACAAATCAATAGACGAGACATGTCATGGCAATGTCCAAAAAATAAGCATCTAGTGTTAAAATCTCTACAAAAATAGTTCTACTTCTGCAAATTGGTTCCAGAGAATTCTTCAAGAATTGCAGTATTCTATCTGAAGTTCGTGTGTTACATATATCTATGTTTTACAATACTATCATTGCAATAGGTTTGTTTCTGTCTATTCCAAAGCACTGCTAGAGGTATTTTGAGCATTTCTTACATTTTATCATTACATTACTGTACTATATTTTCTGTTTAAAAAATTGTGATAGAATTGGGAAAACATCAGAAATTGCTCTATATATGATATGTACAGATATTGAATGGCATGGATAGTATGAAATAATGTTTTTACAATTATATCCTTCAATTCATGACAAAAAGAGGTGTAGAAAATGTCGTTTTCCTTTTTTTCAATGTTCAATAATAGGCAGATGTGAGACTCTTTTTACACATTCAGCCGACGTTTCGGTGACCGTCTGTCACCTTCCTCAAATGAACATTAAAGACATTCAATGCGATTTCAGTACGAGTATTCTGAATAAGACAATCTTTATGATTTTGACACGTACTGCTTCACATCAGCACATTTCAATCAGGATTTCATACTTTGAGTATTCAAAACTACAGAAACAAGCCCCAAGATGAGTCCTTTATTTTCTTGGTGGTACCCTTAAAATTAGCCCAGGGCCCTTCCAGTAACCATTTTCCTTCAGAATTTTGGGGGATTTTAGCTCCATGAGGGTCAAAATACATTGGGATAGTGTGGTTTTTAACTCAGTATGTAGATAGATGGCTAGAATATTGGCTTTGAAAAATCGGGTTTCTAATTCCTAAAAACTGCATTGGATGCCTTTAAGTTACATGTACATGACGTTCAAAACGTTCAATTGTTGTGCAAGCAGCCATGATTTTTAAGAAGAAAAAATCGAATCTGTTTGTCATGCATGAAATGTACGAAATCCCCCCAGCAGCGCCTTGGAATGGAATCTACCTGAACTATATTTGCGTGGTGGGGAATGATCACCTCTTTACACCGCAGGGGCCTCCTGTCGTCACACCGGAAGCTGCGCGATGACGTCACCGGAAGTCTGCTGAGGTAACTGCGCTAGTAAATCTGACCCAGATTGTGTCGTCTGCATCTCTAACTGTTGAGGATGTCGTCGGCGGGTCGTCGTGATGTCGCCCTGCCTCTTGAGTCGTGTGGATTGTCGTTAAGACAGGAGAAATTGTGGCTGAAACAAACGATAACAAAAACATATCTTTAAGTTTATTGTAGGTATTTTTTTATTTTTTAATTAATTAATAATTTTTAATTATTTCATTTAGCACATAACATATGTGTCCATAATATCACCAGGGTTCATAATATCGCCACCTTGAGAAAAAGTGTGCTTAAAGATATTTTACTGCAACATTCCCTAGGTATGTACATTTGA